TAGAAATAAGAAAAAATTTCACCGCAACGTGATCTTTCCTTTTGAACGCTTTCTCTTTGAGTCTACGCAAGTGTTTTAGTTATGGAGACGAAAACCAATCCGGACGGATGAAAATGGTTTCCAGTGGACAGCAGGTATGAAAGCAGAAGTTGATGTAGCACGTTAACTGGTCACGGCATTTAGCTACATTGTTGTCAAACAATAGACTAAAATCTGTGGTTGAAATTATTTCCTGGAGTTGATTGATATGTTCTCAAGTGAACGATGTCTTCTTTTAAGCCTGCTAGCTTTGCAAGGAGTAATATCCCTATGCTTTACTTTGCTATACACGATAGGGGATAACTTGATGTTCGAGTGATCAGACCTACCAGCCGATGCCTGATTGTACGCACACAAAATATTGTTAACAAATATGACTATAGTTGATTCAAGGCTTGTAGGGGAGTTTACGACCTTTTGCAGCCCATAGTATGTGAGAAAAGTGGTGTCAGATCTGTTGAAATCACCAGCAAAGATGCAAACAGAATAATCAATGTGGTCGATGACAGTTGAAGTGAACTGATCGTAAAATTAATCGGCCTATAAAGCGAGACAAGTGAGGGCAAGGTAGCTATTTGCAAACAAAATAGATTGGTAGCCACCTAAATATCTTGGTTTACATTTCAAAACAAAACAGTTAATGCGTGGGGAGTAAAAGCGAAATCAACCTTTTGTTGACATGCATCACAGAGGATTGACATAAATAATAACACCCCTGCCGCGACTCTTGTTTGTGATTGACCGGTCGACGAGATGCCACATGAACCTCTTGATCGCTACTACCTCAGCGTCAACCTCTTCATGAGGTCACGCCACTTGAAGCCTAATTACGCCAAGCTGTAAGTATTCACTACAGCGAATTTCGCTTTTAATCTCATCCATTTTGCTCACAAATGATCAGACATTTGAGCTCATTATAATCACTATAATCATACTGCACAATGTTTTCTTCCATAGAGCAATTCTCCATCAAGCATGATGCTTTTTAGTAGAATTATTGTGCTTCTTGTAGATACGCTTCAGTGTTTTTTACAGCTTGATCTTGAAAAACGATGACCTTCAGTGGAGTAGGAACATATATGGATTTGACAATATCAAGAGCACAGTTCATCATGGCCTTGAAGCTTGTATGAATTGGGTAGAGAAAACAAATGATGACATGCTACGAATAGTTGGGTCGGAATGTTCTTGGTGAGAAAGGCGATATTTTGTGATTGTCATTTCATGAATGAAAGCCGCCATACCGCCAACCACTTGCTGATGATAAAACATAGATTGTTGTTATGGAGGGGAAGTAGCCAAAACACGGTGTCTTGCATTGCGACGTAACAACCACTTGATTACGGCTAAAGAGCTTCGTAGCCACCAGATAAGTGAGGATCGAAACAGCTTGGATCTCGTGAGCATGCATGCATGTTTGCTGGATGTCTTCTACCTGAACTTGTATAGGCAGACACGTTACACACTCACATCAGGGGTATCAAAACATCAGCGACCTCAGGAAGTCGTTTCACTTTTGAGTTCATTCAGTGTTGGCGTCAATCGCGTGCGATAATGGTCGTTACTTCTAACAACGAAGAGTTGTGTCGATTACCGAAACAGTCATCATTTGTGAAAAGGTGCAGTATCTAGCATCACAGTTACGCAACCTGAAGGGCTTGTTGAGACGACTGTTCTTCATTGTTTCCTGTTTATGACACCCCTTTGTTTCGCCGTTTTTCGAAACCCGCTTCATCTCAATCATTTATTTTCCGAATAAAATGTCCGCGGAAATGCTTGAAACCGATCTATCAGTTTGATATAAAGTCCACA